ATCTACAGGGGATGGTAACTCCCCTTAGAACCTGGTCGGAGGGGGGCATAAAACTTAGATGAGCTCACTTTTGATCTCCGACTTATTTTTTCCCGAGGAATTCATGGTGAAAAAGAGAGACTCGGAGATCAAAATTGAGCTTGTCTAAGTTTTTTGGCCTCCAGGACTGCTCCCACCTGTGGAATTTCCAGGGGTGCATGTTTATGCCATCTTCACATATTTCTATTGTAGATACTCATATGAAATTTTTCTTTGACTTTTATGATTTTCCAAAGGAAATGTATATTCTGAATAAAATACAAACATAATAGCATGGCTTGCAGGGCGAAAATTGACAAAAAAGGCATTTTAACTTGACAGATTTATAAAGGAATAATAGACATTTGTGTCATGAAGAGTTATCTCTTTTATCAGAATATCAATGTACCTTAACAGTAGATATTATTTTTTAGATATACTTAATAATAATAGAGTACACAGGACACCGTCGATGGACGTGTGATTGTTGTTAATCCTTTGAGTAAATAATGCATATACGTAGAATTTTTATATATCCAAGAAGTTTCCCGATATCTACTATAGGATTTTTTTTAATACGCAAATTGTGACCAGGAATCAATACATCAGGTGAATGAGCATGTGCAGTGTGAAACCTGTACAGAGAAACTGTACATCAATCGAAAACGAAACCAAAACTTAATTTCTCAACTATTCTTGAGTCTCGAGATTAAAGAAAAATAGAAGAATCAAACCTTTAAGGAAACATATAGGTATTTGAGGTATATTTTGAATAAATAATTTTTTCTTTCATTTTTGAAACAATAATGTCAACCGAAAGTATCAAATTCCTATAAACAAACTCTGATGGGTTTTATTAAGTATTTTGTTTTTATATATGTATTCTATATATCTTCACCGTAATCATAATTTAATGTTTTCACATTATTTTCAATGCTTTAATATTATTAAACTGTGGAAAATTGAGTTTTTCCTTAATCCTTTTACTGCATGGATACTACACTACCAATTGGCTGTTCAATTTGTTAAAATATCTTCTAGCAGGTGGTACCTGCTTTATTTTTCACCCTTAATGTTATGTCTGGGCAAAACGTTGAGAAAATTATCTTCGAAGAAGTTTGATATACATGTACTCCATTCTTACAAAAATATACTTCTATTTGAAACGAAATTTACTTACGAAACACAGAAATATTGATTGATTGTATACTGTTTAACGTCCCTCTCCAGAATATTTCACTGATATGGAGACGTCACCATTGCCGGTGAAGGGCTACAAATTTAGGCCTATGCTCGGCACTTACGGTCTTTGAGCAGGGAGGGATCTTTATTGTGCCACACCTGCTGTGACACGGGGCCTCGGTTTTTACGGTCTCATCTGAAGGACCGCCCAATGAAGTCGCCTTTTACGACAAGCAAGGGGGTACTGAGGACCTATTCTAACCCGGATCCCCACGAGGCGAAACACAGAAATAAATGTGTGTACGACATATGAAACAAAGAATATCTGTAATTATTTTATTGGGAAAAAAATCATAATGTTTTTGGTAAGGAACAATATCAAATGTTTCCAAATGAACACAAGTTTCTGGTTAACATATTATTTTTTTCGAATGATAAACCCCTGAATGCAGATGTGATTTATTGATATATGAAACGTATGTTTTTTTTTTTTATTCTTAAATAACAATAATTGTACAGTCAAGAATATACGGAAAAAATGTATCGTAGAATGAACATTAAATTAATCTTAAGTTGCTTAGGGAAATCACTTTGATTTGAATATTTACATGTATTTGTACACTTTGAAGACGTAGTTTGAACAAAATGAGTACACAGTGTACTTGAAAGAGCTTGCTTGGGAATAATAAGTCATTGTGTGGTAGAAATGTCCAATATCGTAAGCTGGGTAGAAGTAAATAGGGTGCTCCAAGTTGTGGTGTTGCTAGTGAAATTCATGGCAGCATTTTGGAGTGGGTAAATCTCTTGAAAGTTATCTTGGTAAAGTTCAATCAGCAAAAACACACTGAGCAGAAAGATAAAGGTGATGCCAATCAGCTCCAAGATTAACAACACCCGTTTCCAGGTTTCTGGCTTGTTCACGCAACACAGTTTGAGTTCTATGAGTGCTATACTAGCTTGCAACGATGCTTCCACTAAAGCATACCAGGCTTTCCACAACTGTACGTCGGAAATCAGCTCGGTTGATTTCACTGCCACAATAACAGCTAGGATTATTTGAGGAAGATCCTCAATCCAGGTACACAAAAAAGAAAAGACTGAAATAGCTTTCTTGACATCGCCATAGGATTTACTCAAGTTTTGTTGCTTTCTCTTTTTGTAAATTTTTATGCAAAATAAAAGTAAAGTTGCAGTGAACATAAAGGTACCGATGCCTGCAAACCCCACTATTGCCTTCTTTAATTTTGTTGCACGTGTAATACTTTGTTGATCTGTGTGTTGTACTTCAATGTAAAAGTCCCAATCCAGCCCTAAATCTGCCACCTCCAGAAGCCATCTCACAACAGCATATATTATTATTAAAACTTTCTTGCACGATTTATTCATTTTTTGTGAGAATGGATATTAGTTTTCTGAAACAAAGAAACAATCAAGATATCAGGACTGATATAAAAACATATAAGAAAAAAAAATGAATTCCATCATATATTTCGAACTCTGCTCGCTAAAAGGTTTGCCTTAAGCGATATATAAAGTTATAAAAATTATGAGACCTCTGGTGCTCAAACTCTCCACGATGCATGTACATGTATTAGTAAAATGAGGATCATTACAAGAAAAAAAGCTTATACAATTTAGCATGAGAAGGAGAAGGGACTCTAAGTCATATTTTTACCCATTTTGCCCAAATAAAAAAAAATTGTTACTTATAAACATCCAATGGCATGTAATTGATATGTTCAAATTGCTATGTTTTTCAACTTTTATTTATTATGACGTAATATCCTGTTACATGTACGAGGGCCGTTCAAAAACTACGCGGACTGAGCTATTATTTACTCTTACAGACGTCATATAGTTATAAAATTTAACAGAAATATGTATCTTAAAGATTACAATAAATTTTGGACAACATTTCTGTATTTTAAAAAAAAAATTCTACTAAATTTATTGGTATGTTGATATCGTTGATGGAGAGGTACGACGCACGACAAAAAATTGAAGCAAAAGCGTGCGGATTAAAAAATTTAACTCATTGATTTTCTAAAATTCGCGATATTTTTCAACAATTTTCTCAAATGTACCTTTAAATTGTTCTATTATTATGTATTTATATTTCGGACGTAATATTTGAAGTTCTAACGGAAATATAGTGATTTTTCTCTGATGCAATTCCCGTGAAAACGACTGTGAAAATGACGTCTCCTGAATTGACGGCGCACCACACTTTTGTTAAAATATGTGTAATGCTCGAGATATCGGCAACATAGATCCAAAATATGCATAATAAAACATGTAGTAAACTAGGCTACTCTTGACATTCGCCCACAAATAGCAAATTGAAATTTTAAACAGTTAGACCTCTGTAAAAAGGCTATACCGGAGGACGGGAAGAAGATTATAGAAGAAAAGTTAACTTTACCCGGACTGTAAAGAACGTGATTGAGAGTCACCAATATCACACTATGTCTCATAAGTAGTTTTTGGTTTTAAAACAAAAAAAAGAATATTCTTTACTTGTTTATTAGATTTTAAGCTTGACAAGAAATGGTGTTTTGATGTTGAGTAGATAAGGTAACTCAAACTATACAGGTACTCAAGGGAAAATGTTGAGAAAATGTAAGCTCAATCACATATTTTTATAATGCTTGTGACGTCAAAGATTTTGCTGCGCCGTGACTTAATGGTATGTCCTGAAAAATCACTCAAAATTAACACCAATTTACAACATTTTGATATGAAAATTTGAGGACCATATAAGTAAAGGTTCTTTTATATTATTTGTGAAATTTTGCCCGATTATGTCGTCAAATATTTCTGTGCAACAAGTCCGCGTAATTTTTGAACGACCCTCGTATTCCCTGCACATATTGTTTATGTCTCCCACCTTATTCCATACTCAAGATCATGGCATGAATATGCTCCTTTTAGTTGGGACATGCTACTGACAGTTAAGTTGATGATACAGAAATTTCAAATAATTTTTTAAGGCTTAAACATGCTACTGCTTAGTGTATTTTGTTTTAAATGAAAGTGAAAATTTAACCACTTTTTCTTGAATTATTTATGCAATCATATTCGCGAGTAAATCCATGTTCTTTTTTTCGTTCGTCAAATTTTGCATTGAATTTATGCTTTGATTAAAATAGTCATAATAAACTATGATTTAAAAATAGTCATTTTTCACCTACCTGTCATTTTTGTGTAAAGAAATTCAAGTAGAAAAATTTTACATATGAAAATATTAAGAGCAAACTGTATTTTTGAATTTCATGTTTACAATATGCAAAAAATGGCATTAAATACAGCCGATTCGTCTAGGTGTAATTAATCACTGTCATTCAAATAATGAAATAATAATTGTTATACATGTATGTTTGTCAACTGCACATGCCAACGTCGTATGGAAGTATATTTCAAACCTAAGAATTTTAGAAAAAGAATTTAAAGCAGTTATTTAACTTTACATGCACAAATGATGTGCAATTTACGTATTTTTTTCTCAGTGAAACTTACTGAAAAAAGTATGTGTTATACCTACTTTCATAGTTTAATTCAATATCTCTGATTTGTACGTAACTTAATAATAAACTACTTTATAATTTAATCATCAGTCTGCGATATTGTTGTATTACTTGAGTTTTGTTTCTTTTTCTCAGAAAACCCCAAATGAAAGGAGATCAAGTCTTCAATAACAAAAAACATTACATTCAATACTTAAGGAATCGATTCAACATGTTCAATCCTTAAACGAAAGAATATTTTAGTATAATAGATACCCAGTAATACAACAACCTTACTTGTCTCCCGAACCTGCCGTATACAATGTAGACCAGCCCCAGCTTCTAGATTTAGAAAATGGTATGTGATTTATTTTTAGACATGGAAATCCAAAATATTATAAATAGCAATTTTATTATGCAATGCTCTAATTTACAGCTCGTGCATTGGCCGTTGAACAGACATTCTAATTATAATTTTTAAAAGATTTGTTTTCAATTTAAGATGTTGGCTTTGTGTCCTTGGCATCATTTTTGTCAATAGTTTCATCTAATATTCCATCAACAACGATGATCACGACTGGTGTTAAAACAAAGCAGTTTATCATGCAATGAATTATTGCTTTTTACAAAACAATTCCAATAAAACAACCGTTATATGTTAATAATGACAAGGAAGTTTTTTGGGAACAAGTTGCTAAAATTCTTTTTTTTTTTAAATTTTGAATTAAAGTATGGTTTTTCCATGTCAATTATATATGATTTAATTTTCAGACAAAAGAGATACACATGACATATAACGTAAAAAACCTTGATTATGCTTATTTTCCTTTTTTCCTCAGTCAGGAAGCGGTCTCAATTTTGGCCAATAGGGGATTTCTATGCATAGTCTGCAAGCTGTGCAGTCTTTAAAACTTTTGGCCTAAACTAAAAATTATGAGATTTCATAAAGGAATAAACATACAAACATTCCTCATATCAATTGTTCAAATTGATGCATTGACGGGATGAAAAATATTGTAGTTGTTGTTTTTCTTGAATTAGGTGAACATTAGAAAGAATTGTTGTTTTAAAAATCTTACAAACAATACAAATATGTTAAAATTATATAAAACACAGAGACCCCTGGTAATTACAGAGGTGGTGTCAGGTCCCCAGGAGGAGTAAGCATATCCCCTGTCGACCAGTCTCAATCATAATTGGTAAATCTTTACTCTAGCAATAAAAAAAATCAGTTGACTCTGGTTTCAAAATTCACAAATTGTGAATACAACTTTTTGATCTCACCTATCCATTTTAAAGCTTATTTTTATTCAGGACAATTGTAAAAAAAATCTCAAAGTCCCCTAATATAAAAACGTATTAATATTTAATGATCTTGCGTTGAACAACTTTTTTCGTTTCGTTTTTTTTAATGAAACATTTTTCAGAAAAAAAAACTACATGTATTATATAATTTTTTTTATATAAAAATGGCTCATGAATTATCATAATTGTTAGAAGAACTTCCCTGGCGTTTATCGTCAACATTGTTATAAGTTTTTGTTTACATCTATAATGTTAGAAATATAAATATGGGAATCAGGAAAACACTAAATTAACAGCCACTTCAGTAGATTCACTAAGCACTCGAAAAAAAAACTTCAACCCAACTTAATGACTCTATTTAACATTTCATATTGAAAGTATAAAAGTTAAAGTAGATATTAAATTGACTTTAAATAGACGGTTAATTGAGAATTATAATGTGAATTAATTATTCAGGCAAATAAGGGGCACTTACATTAATATTTGTATGACAAACAAGATGACGCCAGCTTTTCCGTCGTCATCTGTCCTTATTTATGCAATTTTATTCCACCATCATCTGCCATAAGTGTTTTTGTCCCCCAACATATTAAACACTTAAGAACATGCTCTATGCACGATTAATTTATAAAGCAGGTATGCTACTCACTGATTACTAGTAGTAGATGTTACAGGTTTTTCGACAACCTCTTTGAACACAGAATTTGAAAAAAAACACTGTAAATTCAATTTGGTCGCTATAATGATCTTCTTAGCACATTTAACCAGTCAGAGTCATCTTTTTTTTTGGCTAGCATCTTTCATATCAACTGTTAGGCCACTGTATTAAATACTCAAATAATTTTTTTTATATTGAAATTTACTACAGAAAGTTCTACGTGATAATTAATGCTCACAATGGGTGTGAGCGGTCAACGGGACACGTTTACTCCTCCTAGGACCTGATTCCACCTCTGGAATTTCTAGTGTTTTATGCTCTCTTCACACGCCTGTGTTTGTATTGTTTACAGATTTTTATTAGATCAATCATTGTTTGTTTTTTTTTGTTATCTGTTACTTTCAAAATAATCCTGTAACGATGTAAAGCTTGCAAATTCTTGATACAATTTGTAAAGTTAACAATTTCTTGACACGATTTGTCAAGCTTGAAATTTAAATGCCCACAACATCGAACATTTTGCAATTTAAAAAAAAAATGTTTTAACCTTGAAGTTAAAGGTATCCTTAACAGTATATTTAATTTTCAAAATATGAATATTGTTGAGAAAATGGAGTGAAAATCGTCGATAAGCGTGAGGTTATGTCGGAGAACTCGATGTCTCCTGTTATTTACTATGAAATTTCTTTATATGTACATGCTGTGACGAGGGACCAATACAGCATGTGAACGAGCATGTGTATTGTAATACTTGCGCAGTAAATAGAACGAGCCAGAATATAGCACATCGTTGGAAAACAAAACCAGAACTAAATTTCTCAACTATTCAACTATCCTGGAATCTGAAGAAAAAGAATGGAAAATTCAAGCCTTACGGGACAAACAAATGTGTTTCAGGTACATTTTTAATGCTTTTAATCTGTAGAATTGGATTTCAAGAATGATGCCAAACCGAAAGTAACAATTTCCTGTAAAATTAATATAAATACCTTATGCTAGAGATTGTTTAGCAGCATTCTGTATGAAATGACAATGACCTGTGTAATTATGTTACAAATCAGCGGTTATCCTTTCACTGCATTTCGAAAAGGTTCTCAATTCAGAAAATCTTTATATTTTGTTTTTCATTTACACTGTTTAGATGCATCGCTGTCAAAGAGAGGATATCAATCAACCCATTAACACATAATTAAATAAAATCTTGAGTAAGTCAAATTGAGGATATCAATTAAAATGGACAATGCAAAATAAATAAATGAATCTTAATTCGTGACAAAGAGGAAAAATTCAACTATTAATTCTTGATAAAACATACAATGTGTAATGATTATATGGTAAGAATGATAAGCCATTCAGTCGACAGTTAATCCTTAATTACTTCGCAGGTTTGAATCCCAATGTAAAACATGGAGTCTGGTCTTTAGGAAGACCGTATAAATTAGGCCACATATCGCAGTAGATGCTGGAAATAGATCCATCAATGTATGCTCTATCGCCTTAAAAGCCGAGCATTACATAGGTCAAAATTTGCAGCTATCCACCGATGAGTGGTGGCGTCTCCATTTGAGTGAAAAATTCTCCAGTTTGGCGTTAACAACAAACAAACAGGAAACAAACTCTGTGGTTTGAGCCATTTAGTTTATTTAAGAATAAATTTTATTAATTTGTTTTCTTTTTCTATGGCAATAAAATTAATTTATGTCTTCTACTTTAGTTAACAGATGAGGAGATGAAGAAAATTTCTGAAATATTATCAAACTCCATGTTTTTCACTATGACATGCAGCAGCAAGACAGAGGCTCAAATGTGTTCAATTCTTCTTCTAGAATTCTTGTACTTTTCAAGATATAAACAGACAGTGCAAAGATTTTTTGGAGGAAGCGCTGCAGAAGGAACCAATATTAAAACAAGCGATATTGACAAAATGATAGTGGGACCTAACATATATGTCTGCTCCGATCCAGGAGAAGGAAAGATGGTTCGAGGTCATGTATTTTTAGTTGACTCAAGTGACTGCTCTCAAGGGCATGTTAAACTTGTTCTTTTAAAAACAGATAAAACAATACCAACGATTTTTGATGACCATGGCAAAACTCTAAATGACATGCTCGAACAGAAACAAGATGGAAAATTCCTGCTCTCTAACGAAAAAGTCGTAAGTTTTTGGATAAACTTTCTTCAGAAGAGAGAAACCTCAACAGGGCCTCCAAGAACATCTCGCCATGGGCCATGTGCAACTGCAAAGAACACAGATCCACAGGGCTATGTAAAACGTAAAATAGGAGACGTTATAGAACAAGACTTTGCACATGGTATCCCATATTGCAGCCAAACCTCAGAAGGAAAAGATTGGTTAAGGGATAGAGAAAACTTTAAATGGCCATCAAAGAAAGTGGTAGCGAAAATAAAATCACTAAGCTGCCATGCTGTTGCTGTTGGAGATAAAATGTCCAAGCATTCAGATGTAGAATGGAGGATTTCTTATCTTTTGTGGGAGCGAGAACTTGTATGGAGTTTTAACGACATACAACTGCAAGGTTATGTTTTATTAAAAGTATTACTGAATAAATATATAGACCCAGTGGCTCCGGAAGAATTAAGCTCATACCATATGAAAACAATTGTATTTTGGGAATCAGAAAATACTATTGACAACTGTTGGCACCCAAAATACCTTCTTCAATTTGTACGAAACTGTTTGCTTCGCCTAAAATGCTGTATTTTGAGCTGTACTCTCAAACATTTTATAGACCGTGGAAAAAATCTCCTTTTGTGGAGATTGCAAGATCCGGAAGTAAAGGATGCAATTCGTAATGTTATTGAAGAGATCATTCAAAATATAATAACGTACTTGATGCAGTGTGTTGAAGGCATTGATTTGAACGCAACCTGGGTAGAGAGCGATGGAAATGTGGAGGAATTTCTTCGTAAGTGTAGACTGGACCACGATCCACGGATAACGTATGACTTCCGTGAGTCTAGAGAACCATTAAGATTATTTCATTTTGGCCGATCATCCTCGCTAAATGTTAACGTTGAAACAGTACCAGCCGATTTTAGTACACTTGCACGGTACATTGAATCGTTTGAGGAAAATGACAGATATATAACAGATGTTCATGCTAGCATTAAGAATCCTGTGAAAAAAATTATTCACATTAGATCTGCCATAATTTTGGCTAAACAAATGCTATTTGCTAAACAATTTTCAAATGAAAAGTTTCAAAAGCTTATAAACTTTATGAATGAAAACTCTGACCTTGATGCTATCTCTGGAAAATTGTACGTAGCAACATGTTTTGTTGCTTTCAAAAAACCTGACAAAGCTTTTGAAGTTATGAAAAAGATTTATGCAGCCTCTGAAAAATATGATACACTGATATATGCAGGTTTGTGTTCAGATTGCAAATCAATGCGTGTTTCTGGTGAAACACTTATACAAGAGAGAGGACTTCCTCGATGCTCGCTTTCGAAAACTAGAAACCTTTCGATCTTTCATGATGTTATATTTGCAAATGGAGATTTGCCGATTCTGCCTGATGCATTGAAATTTGAATGCTTCGTCGACAGAGTTTTTCTTGTTCATCCGTCGGTGTATCTGTTTTATCTTAAAGTTCTGTGTAGCAAATCAACAGAGAAAAAGAACAATATAAGTCTATTGGAAAGGGCAGTGCATGAGTGTGATGCTACTTTACACACATATAGGCATTTTAACATTTTAGGGTATTGTTATTTTGAACATGGAGACTACGAGGAGGCTTTTAATTGTTATAGAATATCTTTTTCGCGAACTGTCGATAATGGTAGACCAAATGCTGCAATTTATTTGTTACCCATTCTGGTATACAATATCCTCCAAAAGCAAAGGTTTGATTCTGATAGTGAAATTATTTATCAAAGATAAAATGTTTAAAGAGTTTTCTTTGAAAAAATGATTTTTTTTTCTTTACGAATTATAAATGGTAAAGCATTAAGATACTGTCAGTTGAATACACTGGGGTTGAGAAATCTTCGCTTCACAACTTATGAGATTGTTCAATTGATGCAATGATATCACCCATTTTACTGTATGGGTCTGAAGTATGGGGTTATGAAATAATTATATAATTGAAACACCACACTTAGATTTTTAAAATATATATTAAAGTTAAAAAATATACTCCAAACTGTATTGTATATATGGCGAACTTGGTAAAATATCCATGTCAGTTTCTATAAAAGCAAGAATGAATGTTTTTTGGGAACAAATTTAAACAGGTAAACAAGAGAAATATCCATGTCAGTTTCTATAAAAGCAAGAATGAATGTTTTTTGGGAACAAATTTAAACAGGTAAACAAGAGAAATTTCTCGAAAACTTGAAAATTACTTAAAAAGTTTGTGTTGCTGATGTTTATCATTCCAAATGGTTGAATTGCGTTCAAGATATATTAACTACATGTGATGTTAATTCTTGGAGAAATTGGACAAATCAACCTCCTGATAGACTCTTTCATTTATCTAAAAATGTCTCTTGATTCAATACGCAAATACTATACAAATTTATTTGCAGACATATAAGTTAGTGATGCATGTGTATCTTCAATCTTGTTAAAGTCAAAGTTTTTGAAATTATAAAGTTAATAGAATGACCTTGTTTCTAAACACAGTCTATCGAATGGTTTAAAATTAACTGACGTGTTTCATAAAATTCGTTAAGCCATTATTTTTATACACAATCGTCAGTGTATCGATTCTTCCGCTTATCTGATAATGACGAAGGGAAAACGGCGTATATTGTATACAATAAAGTTACATTGTACATGTATATGTAGCTTGACAACTTACAAATTAAAGAATGAAATATTTGATATTGAACATGTTTTGTTTTTTGTTTGTTGTTTATTACCATTTCGAGAATTTTTTCACACATGGGGAGACACTACCGCCACCACTTTCCGGTAGAGAGCTGCAAAATTTGACCTATGCTCGGAACTCAGGGCTATTGAGGAATGAGGGATCTTTTTCGCACCAGCACTTTTTGCGACTTCAGTTTATACATGAAGTCTCATCCGAACGATCGGTCTCCACGTCCCACACTGGGATTCTAACCCGCGAGGTAAGGATCAAGTCCTTACTCTGCGAACCTAGAGCAAACACTGTTACCACTGTGCCAGCGGGCGACTATCACTAATGTGTGCTAATTATAAAAATACATGAATTGTATCATTTTTACAAAGATGAATGTAAACTTCTCTCAGTCGAGATTAATGTTATTTTGCAGCAAATATGTATAAATGATATTAGATTACATCACTGGATTATCATGAATTATTATGGGCAATCCATCTTTACCTTGTTTTGTTTCAGTTGTTCTATGTGCATTTCAATACTAGCGGGCGTTAACAAGAAACTAATGTTGCAAGTGTACGCAGTGAAACATATAGGAATTGCTGAATATAAATAGAAACGGAAGATACATTTAACACATTTTCCTAGTAAATATTTATAAAACAAATGAATGAATTAAGCTAGGCTTGAAACATGCTTAATTATTACGCAATTGAGTGGTGGAAAATTCCTTTTTCTCCATGAAATTTAAATTATTAATCAAAAAATTAAGTGAGACAGATTGCCATCATCTGTGATAGTTTTAAGGAATAGGTACATTTTTTCAGCAATTTTGAAGTGCTTAATTCGAGATACTTAACTCAGGATGAATCAGGTGAATACCTCCATTGCCTGGAATGGGAAAAAGAAGTTTTGTTGTTATAGAAATGTCTATCAAAATCTTTAAAAATATTCGTTATGTTAATAAATTGTTCTTTCTTTCGCCGATGGTTGTGACATGCAAGCTATAGATAAAAACCGTGAAGCTCGAAAACTAACAATAACAGAAAGATACTATATCTCTTGCTCTCAGAAAATGTTTCAATAATTTTTTTCATCGAAGTATTTTTTGTATTTGTCTTACTGTAAAAAATATAATGAAGCAATAAATTATCTTTTAAAGTTCTAACGTTGAATGAAAATAAAGCAATTTGGTTTTCGTCATTTATTAACTAGGCAACAAAAATCTTGAATTCGTAGATTTCTATGGAATACGTATACATTCCTATATGATACATGCTCATGTACTAATACAATTTTTTGTCTTCAATGACAAGAAAAACGATTCTGGTTATTCGCAACTTGTTCTTAGCTAATATCCCTTTTTATAAACAGCTGAATAAGTAAACTCTAGTTATGTACAATTGTCATGTATACGGACAAAACAAATGACAAAAAGTAAATTTAAATATTATATAATCATGCATATCAATTATATTAGTAAATATTAGTAAAAAAGTACGTATTGACTAGTTAAAGTGTAAAAACATGTAGACAATTAAACATATGCTTCCTAGTCGTATGAAACAAGTATGACTTGTCACATGACAAAAAAAGCCCGGCCGATAATATAACTTTTAGAAACACTACGTGTATTGTAACACGATGATTGTATTGTGTCAAGCTTCTTTATTCCACATAAAAGTTGACATATTTCCTGAAATATTATTATACGTTTAATAAAAACTTCTGTACAACTCCGAATATAAACATCTTCTGCTTAAAAAACTACGAAACTTTTCATTTAGTAATTATTTTCTCTTAATTCATAAACTCTTTATATTATTCATTTCATAATTAAGTAACGTCATAAAAAATTATACACACAGCTGTCATATATAACTATAAACCAACACATACCCTAAGCAAGGGGGATATGTAATGTTTACAGCATATTAGTATTATGGCATCTAGCTCATATTTGATATATGTTCAAGAATAAAAATTCACAAACATAGATACCTACGTATTGAAAAACGTATTTGATTATATTAACCTCCTCATGAGTACTGTAATCTAGCATATAAATAAATAACACATTTTGACTTCATTTGAGAGACCTTTTACAAATTCAGTACGAGTACTGTATATCTTTAAATTAAGTTCCAAATACGTACGTTTACATACAACCTTTAACCTTCGCATACTTGTTTTTTACATACACAATGCTAGTCGCAATGATCGAAGAGTAATGAATTTTCACAAAATTCTACTGCAAATATTCAATTTTGATAATTTTCTGCCAAAAATAGATAGGAAAGCACAAGAAATTACCAGCATGCAAAAGAATACACCATATGACATGAAACCAAAATATTTTCAATTATTTCAGAGCTTAACGTTTCAAAATATAACATTCTTTCTATAAGAAATGAAAATAATGCAATGTTTACAAACCAAGCTAATTTAGTTGAAACGTTTCTTTGCCCTGAGGAAAAGGCACCTGTTCAAGAACCGAAAAAAACACTATTTTTTTCAAACAAATAACAAAAAAAAAAAAAAAACCATGAATTTCCTCCCTCTTACATATCTCCCCTCCTTAACAATGCTGTCCTCAGCGATATAAAGAAAAAATCTATTGAACAGTACTTGATTCTCATATTGAGTACTCAAAATATTTAGCTGACTTTCTTTACAATAAACTAGTATATGAATAAATTCAGGTTTTCATTACAATATTAAAATCAACTAATTTCATTTGTACATGTACATTTGTCCATAATTGGTTTAACGTTGCACTCAAAAACTTTTCTAAAGACGCACCTAAATTAGCTATGGCATCTCTGAGTTCACTTAATTTTTCTCTCTGCTGAAGAAACAAGCACTTTCTTACTCGACACAAGGGCAATTTTAGGTAAATGAAATGTATTGGAATGTTTTACCGCAGTTGAACGCGTTCAACGTCGTGGTACAATTTTATCTCCACCTTTCTCTTCACTTGATCCGCCAGAAGCATCAGATTCAAACATTTCTCCTGTCGGAGGGTTTTTTGTGTTATGATGTCCACAGTCACATCATCAACATCACTCTCTGACATGTCATCACATGTATTCTAAATCTCTGTCCTCTTTTACGTTTGTCCAGTCCCGTCTAAAAGTTGGATAGAGTATACGTTTTCCCCAGTCCTTGCAACCTTGTAGGGTATGAATGATCATATATCCTCAACTTTGTTTCTCCTCAACACACGATTTTGCAATGATACATTTTTGCCAGTTTTGAGTGTTGCCTATTTAGTATTCCTCTTCTGAATCTGTCTCCTATGTTGTGCGTTATTCTCAATATTTGTAGCAGCTTTTTGTAGTGCCTCACTAAGTATTTTCTTACGTTTACCCGTACATGGGTCTGTGGAGAAAGCATCAGACTCCGACTCTAAATTAGTTCCGAGAATGAAATCAATGGAAATTATCGGTTCACGGCTAAAGAAAAGTAAGGAAAACATCCAGTTGACATATTCACAGTAAAGTGGTATTATAGATAAAGAAGCCACGGAAGATATTCGGTTCATCTCTTCTTCTGTTCAGGAGTGAGTGCGTAGTTGATCGGGCATAGTCGGATTAAATCGTATGCACTTTCCATAACCTTAAGCATGATAGGGGGTAGTTCTTGATTTCTCTACACCATAAATCTTACACAATTCTTGTATTATATGACTTTCAAAATTTATCCCCCGGTCACTGTGTCTACGGTGCGGTAGTCAATATCACGGTAGGGGATGCTCACTCCTCCTTTGCACCTGATCCCAACTATGATGTTTCGGAGGTCTGTGTTTGCTCTGCTCCTATTTTGTATTGTTTTATGGACCTTGATCTTGAGTAATGTATGTTATCTCCAAATGTTTCATCACACAAAGCATTCCTTAACAATCTCTTAAACAACTGACACAGCTTTCTGGTCCCTTGTTTGTACTACCTGGTTTAATTTTGAGAGTATATGTATCATCACCACGTTTTCCCCATGTTCACATTGATAAACACGTTTTCCCGGCCATCTGTTGACTTTTCGAATAGAATGTATCTTCATGGGACGAGATGTAATGAGACTCCCAATTGGCGTCCTGGCTCTTGGCATCGGTGCTTTGCAATCGTGCAACTTTCAACCACTTCTGAACATCCTGAGTCATTCGTAACGTAACCAGGAACGCCTTTTTTCCGTTGTAATGCCAATGTACTTTCCACACCTTGATGTTTTGCGTGGTCATGCACACTTTCCAACACTTTGTCTTTAAGAATTTCCGGCAGCAGAATTTGTTTGATTTCACCATCGTCTCTATATCGTCTTTACATCTCTAAAATAACACTGAATTTTCCAAACACTATTACATGTAGTCCTTTTTGTTCAGAAGTTTTCCCACATCCTTCTTTTTCTTATGAATAACAATTTAACAATTTTGTTAACTGGTCTGGTATCTTCAACCAGTATAACACAACGTAAAAATTAGGGCCATGGTATTGCAATTGTCCAGTGGTTAAATGAACTGCATGATGAATGTTTTCTTTTGCTAAAAAATGTATAAATCAAAAAAGACCTTATGTAGATGATGAATTTGAAATTACTGTAGACGTACTTTTTTCCGCGGGGTCATAATTCCGCGGAATCTCAATTTCTGTTTAATCCGCGGGTAGAAAATTACGCGGATTTCTTAGCCTGTTACTATATGCCTTACATTAATTTTATATTAAGTACGCCAGGACAATTTCCGCGGAAAATTTGTTCCCGCATACATAGTGTAAATTAATACCACGCGGAAAAAAGTACTTCTACAGTAGTTGAACTTGACTACAATACACTTTTTCACTGGGCTTTAGATAAACAAGGAAGTCATATTCTCGATATTTGGGGAGGTTGTATAATTTGTGGTCTTCATGGTAATTTCCTTAAAGTTATCCTGATGAAGTTCTGTCAGTAAAAAAACAGTGACAAAAAGTATGAGAATAGATCCTATGAGATTAAAGACTACGAGCCCACGTTTGCAACCCACTGGTCTTTCACTAGAACACAGTTGAAGTTCTTTGAAGTTCAAAGCAATTTGCAATAATGCTTCCACCAAAGCATACCAGGCTTTCACTAATTGTACATCGGAGATCAGGTCTGTTGTTTTAACTGCCACAACAACAGCCAGCAATATCTGTGGAAGATCTTCCATCCACGTACAAATGCCTGAGATGATGGATAAGGCTGTCTTTGCACCTTCGTAGAATTCATCTGAAATTACCTCCTCTTTTCTTTTAGTGTAGACCCTAACGCAAAACGCAATCAAATTTGTGAGAAACATGACAGTACCAAAGATTGCAAACGCTAAGATTGCCCATTTAACATTGATGATGCTGTCTTCGTCTTTTTTATTTACTTCAATGAAGAAATCCCAATCTAGTATTAAATCTGCAACCTCCAGCAGACATCTGACAATAACATTCAAGACCACACTCTTGAATGAGCTTGACTGACCCATGATTTAGCGATACTCCATTTTATTTTGCAGTGTTCTGAAATTAAGGAAGTAATCATATATAGGATAAAGATAATATATGCATGTTATAAAAAAAGTTTGAATACAGATATAATGAGTTCACAGATATTTTTTTCTAGGGTACCCTGCAAATCAAAAAGTTGCCTTAAAAACCTTATGCCGATAATGAACTTTGATAACATCGTGCTTAATTAGCTAAAAAAAACGTTATTCTGTTATTTTTTTTTCAAATTCATATCTAATTTTCTTAATTTTTTTTTCATTTCCAAAACATGTTTTGACATTGCTTTGAAAGTGCACTTAGTAATATGCTTAATATTCACTTTAATGGAGGAGAGTTTTTGTCAGCTAGAGATGAGACTAAACTATGTTAAACCAAAAGTAAATATTAAAAAAAAATTAATGGTTTAATTTTGAGCCTTTCTAAATATGAGTATAAACTGAATATTTTATAATCAAGACTGACACTTTTTCATTGAATGAGAGTCATCAGTGTAATGTCTTTTATGATCGATTGATACATTGTACGTTCCCTAACAAAAAAATACTATAGTTAACTATAGTTAACTATAGTTTACTATAGTTAACTATAGTAAATCAAAGTGTCAAAGTTTTCGTCAAAGTTTTTCAAAGTGTCAAAGTTTTCGCCAAAGTTTTTCAAAGTGTCAAAGTTTTCGCCAAAGTTTTTCAAAGTGTCAAAGTTTTCGCCAAAGTTTTTCAAAGTGTCAAAGTTTTCGCCAAAGTTTTTCAAAGTGTCAAAGTTTTCGCCAAAGTTTTTCAAAGTGTCAAAGTTTTCGCCAAAGTTTTTCAAAGTGTCAAAGTTTTCGCCAAAGTTTTTCAAAGTATCAGAATTTTCGATAAAGTTTTTCAAAGTATCAAACTTTTAGATAAAGTTTTTCAAAGCATCTCAAGTTTTTGATAAAGTTTTTTAAATTTTCAAAGTTTTTGATAAAGTTTTTAAAGTGTCAAAGTTGGCGATTAAGTTTTTCTATGTAGTAAAGTATCCAAGTTTTCGATAAAGTTTTTTAAATTTTCGAAGTTTTTGATAAAGTGTTACAAGTTTTCGATAAAGTTTTTCAAAGTGTCAAAGTTTTCGATAAAGTTTTTTAAATTTTCGAAGTTTTTGATAAAGTGTTACAAGTTTTCAATAAACTTTTTCAAAGTTTTAAAGCATCCAATTTTTCGATAAAGTTTTTCTAAGTATCCAAGTTTTCGATTAAGTTTTTTGAAGTATCCAAAATTTCGATAAAGTTTTTTAAAGTATGAAAGTTTTCGCCAAAGTTTTTCAAAGTATCAAAGTTTTCATCAAAGTTTTTCAAAGTGTCAAAGTTTTCGCCAAAGTTTTTCAAAGTGTCAAAGTTTTCGCCAAAGTTTTTCAAAGTATCAAAGTTTTCGTCAAAGTTTTTCAAAGTGTCAAAGTTTTCGCCAAAGTTTTTCAAAGTGTCAAAGTTTTTGCCAAAGTTTTTCAAAGTATCAAAGTTTTCGCCAAAGTTTTTCAAAGTGTCAAAGTTTTCGTCAAAGTTTTTCAAAGTGTCAAAGTTTTTGCCAAAGTTTTTCAAAGTGTCAAAGTTTTCGTCAAAGTTTTTCAAAGTGTCAAAGTTTTCGCCAAAGTTTTTCAAAGTGTCAAAGTTTTCGTCAAAGTTTTTCAAAGTGTCAAAGTTTTCTTTTTCAAAGTGTCAAAGTTTTCGCCAAAGTTTTTCAAAGTGTCAAAGTTTTCGTCAAAGTTTTTCAAAGTGTCAAAGTTATCACTATAGTAAATCAAAGTTTTCAAAGTGTCAAAGTTATCACTATAGTTAACTATAGTAAACTATAGTTAACTATAGTTAACTATAGTATTTTTTTGTTAGGGTTGTTTCACGTCTCCTACAGGAATTTTCACTCATACAGAGACGTCATTATATACTAGTTATTTTGATATTTACTCGGTACTCAGAGTAATTGAGCAGTGAGAATTCTTTATCGTGCCAACGCCCATTGTAAAACGAGGCCTCGATTTTTAAGATTTCATCTGAATGACTCGTAACTTTCTCTTCAAAGTGTCGAACACTTCTCAAAGAAAGCGTTGCTACCTTTTTTATCAACTTTTAGATCAGTCGCGGCCTTGATTTGAATTCCTGACCTTCCGATCATTTTCTTTTATGAAAATAGAAAGGTTAACAATAGAAAAAGCTTACCTTCAAAGTATTATTTATAATGATGAATATTCACATGACTAAATTTGATTGCATCATATTCACTAAAAATCTACCATACTCGAAGCAACACAGTGATGTAATTATCAGTAAATGGTGTTTTTTTTTACAATTAACATAATTATTTAAATTTAACATCCTTCATGTATATATATAGAATTCAAATGTTTAAAAATTTATTCCAATGTAAATAGACTATAAAGTAAATTGATCCACCCATATGACTCCCTATACTGTGAGTGGTACACTCAACAATTACAGAGAAAGTATAATTGTGGATCTGAACTGGGGCTAAGTGGATAAGAAACCATTGACTTGGGAAAATAGTAACTTCATTAAATGTAATATAATTCAATGTAAAAAGTGATCATTTTACATAATCATAATCATTTTATATTATCATACTTGAGAATGTTCACACATGTAATACTTGAGTAATAGTTCAAGTAAAGAAAAAAAGATCCACAAAGTAAGACTGTGATTAACAATATTTATCATAAAAGTTACAGTCAAAAGAAATTCAAATTTAAAAAAATATTCCGAGTTTTCATAGGAATCTATGAATGGAAAACTGATTAAAAAGTAATAGAAATAATATATACAGGTATATTTGTGGCTGATGGTTTGTTAATATGAACGCTTGAAACAACAAGAACAAACAAAACAAATAATATTTCTATTTTTTCTAATCTTAAAATAATTTCAGTAGCCTACATGAATAATCACTGAATTTAAACATCGATAATTGTACAATATACTCACTGGAGAACTTTTAGAAACTTATCTTTCCCAGAAGAATGAAACGGAATCGCAATTAATACGATGATTCATTTTCCGAAAATAGTCACATGTAACCTATTTTGCGGAAGTGCGATTTTCTCTAAATATAGAAACTGCTAATTATAATTAAAAATGTCTGAGATATTTAGATACATGGTAAATTCCATTTGATAAAAAGGCTGAAATATTTTTTATGTGTCTCCAGAATAATAGAACAACGACAATCATAATAAATCAATGTGTATATATTAAACATTGTATATTTATATTATTATATTTATTATTCATTGTTTTCTTTGAAAACATTTTTCAATTATCATTATTTTGTTAATTTATGATGAGTCCTATGATTGAGGATATCCAAGATTGGAGAAAAATAGACTTTAAGGTACTCATGGTATATCATTTTTATATTTATCTATTTAAGACAATACTAAAAGACTAAAACTGATACGACCTAATGGCTTGCATAAGAGATCCAGACAGATACTTTTTTTTTTTTTTTTTTTTTTTTTTTTTTTTTTTTTTTTTTACAATTTCCTTCTTTTATTTGCGGTTTAAACTTAGCGCATTCTATCTAGACTTAGTGTTATGGTTTTGCCTATAAATACTGCAGGGAATACAGGAAATATAAAAATACAGAAATGCAACCTGCTTCCTTGGAGACTTACGTAATCATTTAAATGAAATGTGAGCATAATGATCACGTGATATTGATAAAATATCCTTTTTAAATGTTTTTTTCTTATTGACTAATCCACATTTAAGTTCATACCAAACTTTTTTGCAGAGACAGTTTACCATCAATATTTTTTTATTAACACAGTAAAATTGTCTATGACATGTTTGGAGTAGGGTAAGATTGCAAACTTCTCTCTGGCGAAAAGATCGTTCAATAATTGAGTTGCTCGGAAAGACTCTTCGAACCCTACCAGAGACATCTCGACATGGACCATTTGCAGTCTAATTAGAATTAGCCCCTGTTTATTTTTTTGTTATTTTTGATTTTAATTAGACTGGGACCATTTGCATCTTAAAAGAGTATACTATCGATGAGTTATATAAAAAGACATATAAAATGAAATGAAATGCATACTATTCATCAAAGAAAATAGTAGAGGGAATAAAATAAAATGTTATTCAGTCCTTGATTGGCAAAATATTGTCTTAATTTTTCTGTTTGAATTGGATGATTTCGATTTTACTGTGGGGAGGAGAGTTCATTTGAACGATATACAGCCCCATAAACATGATTTGTTAAAGGTATTATTGAAAAAGCACGTTCTCTTGTTCCGAATTATTTAAAAATGTTGTTTTTTTTAGTCTCGGAAAAACGGAGCAAGATTTTCTAAAAGTACCTTTTCTTATTTAAAAGCATTTTGCGACATTTCAAACCTCAAGGAAAACTTTACTTCCTGTATAGAATGCACGTCTCCAAAAAGAAAGAAAACGTTTCCAAGAATATTTCTTGTGTGTTTTTCATCTTAATACACAATGAAACATATGGATATAACGAACAGTATTCAAGATCAAAAGTCCATTAAACATTTACAATACAAAATAGGAGCAGAAGAAACAAGGATCTCCAAACATCTCCTGCTTGCCGGTCACACCCGCTGTGTGCTCCGTGTCATGATCGGGAAATAACAGAAAATATCCGTCATCAATTCAGTGTATAAATAATGGACTAACAATTAGTACGAAAAACGTAAGTCAGCTTTTGACTCAATGATTAATTGTATAAATTTTGTTGACAAGGTCATTGTATCGGCCATAGAACTTACGAAATAATGACTTTTATCGAGACTGCTAATAATCTTGTTTCATCAACTTGTTTGTCAATAATTTACCTCGTTTTAGAAATTGTTCCTACGTAGAGCATGCCTTTGCGTCTCGAATTAAATGAGATATAAGTATATAAACTCCGTTTTCAGGTTATGAAGGTACATTATTGCTGCATAAGTAAGGGAGGTTCACGATTGTAAAGTTAAAGTCATCACGTACGTTTATCATGGAGTTTGGATATTAGATTTACCATTTACGTCTTTTTCAAGTAAAATATCCAAATATGAAAGAGATTTGTCAAACTCCGTGGTATCTTTAGTCTCAAGCTTACTGGGATATATCGAATCGACATAAGAATGGACATTGCCATTGTTAATTGACAATACGTAGTCGATTTATCTAAATGTCGAGTTGAAAGACACAGCAAGTATTTTCTTCTTTTCACGTATAAGATTTGGGACAAATTCTACTTCATATGAATACAAAATTAGGTCTGCTAATAACGGGATGCAACTGGTACCCTTGGGAATTTCAATAGATTGTTGGAAGACCTGTATCTCAAAAACCATATAGATATTGTTTATCAGAAACTCAAGCCTCTTTTGATGTCAATATTACTGCATAAAGTATTAAACTTTTTCTTCTTAACACACCATTTGCTCTCCCTTTTTTTATCACACTCATTCATTTTGATAATTGGAAGCATATTGCCAGGAATATCAACTATATCATTTAAAATATCATTACTTGTTTTAAAAAATGTGCCCATCGATTGGATTTAATAACAACGTGGTGAAAATGGTGAAAAAATTATTTATTTAAAAATATTTTAAATGGAAAAATATGATGTGGGCTTTTTATGTTCTGGAATGTCTTTAGATCACCCAAACATTTCCAAATTAAACGCCAAACTTCTCCACATATATGCTCTATCTGTGTTAGTCAATGCTTAGAATAGTAACTGTTAAGTACAAAATAGGAATGGGATTTTTTATTATTATTTTTTTTTTAATTCAACAGGTCACCTTCAATATATTTAATGTTTTCCATCAGTATAATTGATCAGCCAAATTTTAACTGACCTTTAAGCAATTCAATTAATAAATCGTATTCCAATCCTACATTGATTAAGGAGGCTGGTGGGTCAACAAATTAATCCAAAATTAACCACCAGATTTAATTATTTTTTTTAGATACGGTATTGTTAGCTGTCAACTATCATTTGGCAAATAAAAAAATCATAAATTTTAGTTTTAAAATTTGATCATTTTTGTATATCTTTATATGAAACTCTCCTTTTAAAGGAGATTGAAATAGTCTAAAAATGGCTGCCACCCCCCAGCCTCTTTAAGCATTAACTAAATCAAATTTTATTACGTGGTTGTTATTTCTGTAGGCTGAAGAGGAAACCAAAAACTCAAACAAGGTTTAGTTTTGGATTAAATAGTCGTATAAAATCTCCGAATTTACTTCAGATTTTAGATTCCAAAGTCACCCTTTAACGGTTACATTTTTGTTGCTATGCTAACCAAGTTCATCAGCAATTATGCTATAGGTATCCATCAGTAAGTGTGCAAGTCCTTATTCTAATAAATTGTACTGAAGGAGAGAATTATTATCATCAACTATTATATGTATTTGACAATTATATTAATATGAATATTTTATTTCTTTATTGACGTATTCGTCAATCCCTATAATACTATTCTCCAATTTGTTTAAGTTTTGAAGTATGTGTAATTTATCCTCATATCTATATTAAGAGACCGGTTCTTCGGAGGAGACCGTATAAACCGAGATCCCATGTCGCAGTGGGTGCTGGCACATCTTAAAAGATTCCTCGCTGCTCAAAGTTCATAAGTGCAGAGTATAGGTTAGAATTTGTAGTCATCCACCTCCATATGGGTGAACTTTTCCGAAGAGGGACGTTAAACAAACAATCAATCAAACTAACTAACTGAAAGAGAAATGATATTTTCATTTGTAAAATTCTACGAGATTAAAACTATGAATATTTAAAAAAAAATATGTTATCTTGAATTAAAAAAAGATACATTTTCAGACATTTTAATCCTGACCAAGTTAAAAGAGTCAAGTGTACATGTTTTTTTTTATTTTCTTTTTTATTAAAATTCCGGTTTTAACCACACGTTTTAAATCAAGTAATAGAATCGTGTTTATATTTACGGACCAGTAACTTCAGAAACGAACACACTACACAGGGAACTACAGGTCTGATCACTCAATAGTGAAACTCATTTACTGAAACTCGGACATTGTTTCTGATAAGCTATGGAAGACTCGGATGAATCTCAGATTGTGAGTTTTTTTTAACTTTCTTCTTACAGCATAAAATGCACATATTATTTTTGCATTCTTTTACATTATGTATCATTTTAACTGAAAAACTGCGGTTCAGTGATTGGATTAATAATTTTAAGAATGTTAACATATAGCACACAATCAGATACCTAGTTTGGTTGTTCCTCTAAGCAGATGCATCAAAACATACCGGTATATAAATGCAAGAATCATAATTATTTTCTAATTTGTTAGGTATAACAGCTAAAAAAAGTTAAAGGCTGCGATAAAACAAGGGTGTATTCTGACGTCACGATGTTGTATTTAGACCAATAGTACATGAAAAGAATAACAATGCACAACTTTTACTTTTTAATGGAAAAGTTAAAATAGTGAATCCATTTCTTTTCAATATTAAAAACTTATAATTGTTATTTTGTCTAACGTTTTGATTTCAAATCATTTCATGCTTACATGAAGTTAGAAGGATTGTGAAATCACTCAAATTCTCTCATTGAAAAAGCAAGTCTTTAAAACATGGAAGTAAATCTCAGCGAACAGAAAAAAATAATTCAACTTGCCTCGAAAATTCCGTGTACATTAACAGTTAAGGCGACGACAATGTAAATATTTTGTCTAAAATATATTGTTTGTTTAGATTTCAGATGAGGATCTTGCAAAGGTCTCTGAATTAGTGTCAAAGTACTTGTTTTTCACCATGGCAAGCACTTGTAAAACAGAGGCTCAGAAGAATGCAATACTTCTCCTTGAATTCCTGTATTCCTCCAGAAAGGAAGGATTGATATCGAGATACTATGGAGGAAGTACTGCAGAAGGGACCAATCTGAAAACAAGTGATATTGATAAAATGATTGTTGGTCCCAATATGTGTGTTTGCTACGAACGAGAGGATGCAAGTGAAATTCCAGGTTATGTTTTTCTAATCGACAATAGTGATTCTTCTCAAGGGTATGCAAAACTTGTTCTTTTGAAGGGAGATTCGGATTCACCCACAATATTTGAAAATCAGGAGAAAACTGTGTCGGATATGCTTAAAGAAAGTCAAGGTCGCAAACTTCTTTCTAGTGAAGAAGTTGTTTCATTTTGGATCGATTTTCTCCAAAGATCAGGACCAAAATCATCAAAAGGCCCACCAGAAACATTTCGACATGGACCCTGTGCAACCTCAGTTAGTACTGATCCAAAGGGGTATATGAAAGATGAAATCGGATGCACCATAGAGCAAGATTTTGCCTTCGGCATGCCATTTCATAACCTACCCGAGGAGGGAGTAGAATGGTTAAATGAAAGGGAAAATTACCGCTGGCCATCCAGGGAAATTGTAGAGAGAATAAAATCCTTGAAATGCCATGTAGTTTCTGTTGGTGAAAAGGGGTCTAAATGCTACTCCATGGAATGGAGAACATCATATTTATTGTGGGAAAGAGAGCTTGTTTGGAGTTTTAACGATGTTCAGCTCCAAGCCTATGTTTTGTTAAAGCTACTGCTGAAAAAATACATCAATACTATTGCGCCAAACTTCTTGAGCTCATTCCATATGAAAACTGTAGTATTTTGGGAATCAGAAAATACAGAGAACAATTGCTGGAATGCGAGGCATTTAATTTCATTTTTACGTCGTTGTTTACTTTACCTTAAAGCATGTATCAAGAAAAAAAGTCTGTTACATTTTATAGATCGAAGAAAAAATTTGTTCCTGTCTATAATGAACATGATGAATGACACAGAAAAGCAAGTCTTAGAGAGGATTCTCGAGAAAATTGACAGTATCAATAATGATATTATTACGTATACCTTGCAATGCGCAGATGGATTACATTTATTACCCATGTGGAAAACGAGTGATTTCAGAGTTGTGGGTTTCCTTAGAAAATGTATGGAAACCCTACACAAGGGATATACGTGTGATTTTGATCAATACAAATTCCCTTACAAATTATACCACTACGGGCATCATAACGTTAATCTTGAAATAGTCGTAGCCGATTTCAGCACTCTTAAACAGTACCAAGAATCACTCAAAAAAGGTGATACAAATCTTGTTGATGTCCATGAGGATATCAAGAATTCTGTAACAAGCTTTATCAATATGCGTGTTGCTATCATTGAAGCTAGACAAATGCTACTTAATGGAAAGGAAATCTCTGAAAAAATCGTTAGCACTTTAAAGGACAACTTAAGGATAGATGCCGTCACTGGTGAATTGTACTTAGCTACTTGTTTTCTTGCTATGCACAAATACGAAGATGTGTCGTTACTACTAACAGAAATTTTAAATTCGAACGAAAGGCCAATTTCAATTGTATATTCTGGTTTCTGTTCGATTTGCAGAATAATACGTAGATCGGGTGAGACACTGGAACTAGACACAGACCTTCGATCATGCACATTTCCTCAAGCTAGATATATGTCTGTTATAGCACAAGACGTTATTTTCGCAAAAGAGGATCATCCACTCCTTCCCGACGCTCTGAAATGGGAATGTTTGCTAGATAAAGCTTTCTGGGTTCATCCAGCTGTGTATTTGCTCTATCTCAGATTTCTGTGTTGCAAGAAAGAAGAAAAAGAAAGAAATATTCTGAATTTGCATAACACTGTGAACAAATGCAACGGAACACTACATAGCTTTAGACAATATAACATTCTAGGTTATTGTTATTTTCAAATGGAAAACTATGAAGTGGCATTTCAATGTTATGGAATATCTTTCGCCCAAACATATCCAAATAATACGCCTAATTCTGCTGTGTATATGCTCCTCATTGTGTTATTCAAAACTTTTAGGAGTAGAGGACTTATACTGTGATAATTTATCGAACACAGAATAGTAATTAAATTTCTCTATTATTTTTAAAAAATTGAACAATATTGACACTTACAATACGTTTTACCCTTTATCGGTAATTGAGAGTGTGTGCAATTAACGCTCTATAAGCTTTTTTTAACAATGTGTAAGGTTGAAATATTTCAAATAGGTTTATAAACTTAAGACACATTAAAAACGGTAGGGTAAACTTCAACGAAAAAATGTGTTGTTTTTGTAATTATCCTTACGGAGAAATAAAAAAATAATTTAAAAAACAACGATATTGAATATCGTATTTACTCATTCAACATACAAAGTCATTTATTGTCGAACTAAATCAGTTCTTGAAACGAAAATGTTCAAATAACATATAAAATTATTAAATCATCAGTAGTTTACTACTTATCTTGGTTCCTGTATTAAACATGCAATTCCATGCAATACACAGTTTTGGGAATCTTGCCAAACTTTCTACATAGAAACTTATATTTTCATTCTGTTTTGAACTTTAAGGTATGTCACTCGTCAGCTTCTTAGAAAAGTTCACGCAGAACCTCTTCCTTCAAAACTATTTATCATAAATCAATTTTCATAACATAATTAAATGCAATTCTATGAATTAAAAAAAATGTCACTTAAGATTTTACACTGACGCATTGATAGATTGTTTTCACTAACAAAGTCATTGTATCGACCATAGAATGTATGTTAAAATATGTTAAAACGAGATACCTATGATGTAAACAGAATGGACATAACTACAAGTACAACAGTATATTAAATCATGAAATAAAGAAAATAATTGTAACTGAGATTATCATAAAATTAAATTGTAAAAAAGGTTTTTTTAACATATACATGTGTGTAGATATTTATACGCATTCGCTGGTAAATAGTAAATGTTATTGCATGAATTGTGTTATATAGAGGTGAACACAGGTGTTTCTCTAATAAATACGCAATTAAAAAAATTCACACGTGCACTATTTACTTGTGTCAAAACCACTCATATATTTGTCCAACGATACTGTGTATTCTCATCAATGAAACATTTTTTAAATCGTGAGTCGGAAATTGCCTGTAAGATCGTTGGTAGGAATAAAAGCAGCTCTAAACTTCCCTGCAATCTGTTCACAAATTCCCAAGACCTGCCATGATAAGTCGTTGAGAGGGCAGTATAGATACATGTCATGATCATCGTAAAGTAGGATCCCGAGATCATCCAGTGCTTTTTGTGCTTTCGTTGTATCCTTTTGTCTATAGCATAAGAACTCTGGCAAGTGTAACAAAACAAATGATTACCAAAAATAAAGCAACACTGTAGTTCTGGTATTAATTCATTCATCATGTTCATGTAACAGATTTTTAAATCAAGCCTGATATGCCATGCCAATGCCTGTCTTAATTTCGTAGACCATGATTGTCCCCCTACAGCGTCACAGTACCTCTCTTCATTTCGAGTTGTATGGTACATCACATATGGCTTCGCTAGTTTAACCTTTGTTGTGTTTATAACCTTTAAAGCGTCCTGGTATCTAAGTGTCCGGTAATAATATATTGCAATGTACAGCATGTCTGATATACAACCAAATTTAGCTGCTAATTTTAGCATGTGACAGGACATTCTGTCAACAATATACAGCTTTTTATTACCACTTGTATTAAATGAGATTTCAAACGCATTTTTCCGAAGGATGATGACTGTAAGTTTTTGTAACACTGCAAATCTGGGCTGTGTTTGAGGATAAGTTATCAACTGTTCTATTAAATTCAGATATTTCATTCTGTAATATAGATTAATGCAGTTGATAGTACAATCATAAAAGCTAGCCTGCTTAAATAGTTCTAGATCATATTCATCCTCGGAAATTAACGCCTGCTCTTCTGTACAAATGAATATTGTTTGATCATTAAGACCCGTTAAAATGTGCCCCATAAAAGGACTGTAAAACAGCGATACTAAACCTCTATTGCGTATGGAATTCAATCTGTCTAACAAATTTCTTTGAGCTTCCTCGTGGATGTTACTTAGGAACAAGTTGTTTTCTGGAATAAAGAAGTTAGGACAAATTCTCTTAGAAACCCATTTCAGAAGAAGTTCAAAACAGGTCCAGAAACACTGCAGGAGATTTTGTGGACACCAAACTGGTATTGTATTTTGTTGAATTATCCAAAACATTAATGTCTTCATGTGATAGGAAGATAATAATTTGTCATCGTCATCCACGCCACTATTAACTACGTCTTTTAAGAACAGCTTAAGTAAGCGATAAGTTAAGAATTGGCAATGATTCACTGAGTGCACAAGTTTTTCCTCAGCACATGAGAATGAAATTCTCCATCTAACTTCCTTAAGCTTTCCTTTTTTGTGCCCTATTGCTACAAGGTGACATCCATTTTGGATGATGTCTTGAACAACATGAGGCGGGGGCCAAGAATGACATCTATCCACCCATGAGGATTGAACAGAAGGGGGCCAAAAATCGCTGACAAAACAGTGAGCCATGTCGGTCTCTATACCAAACAGAGGACTCTTGCCCATAAATCCCCTTGAACATGGTCCGTTATCACCAGTAATTTGCACCGTTTTCAAGTTTTTTAAAGAGTTTACTTTTTCTGTATATAGAACTAGATATATATCTGAGCTTATTATTCATTCTGATACATGCTGAAAATACATTTGAATGGATTCTTGATGACAAAATCTGAAGTAAAGTATATCATGGTTTATTCTGAGAGCAGTCGGCTAGAAGCAGTATTGTCCGATTTAAGTTGTAAAGATGTATCTGGTTTATGTCCCAGATCACTCGGTAGACAGGTAACCAGATCATTGTATCTATATCTGAATTATATTGGTAACGGAATCCTTCTCCTACACTTCCCACATTTCTGTAAATATGCCCATTTATAATTATTTTATTATTCATCACGTAGTCTAAATCAATCATCTCTCTCCTCATGTTTACTTCTTGTGAGGTCCCATATCTACGACAAAATTGAACATACAGGGACTCTGATGCATGTGGAGAATTCAGGTAATTAGAAAATACAATACACATATTAAATTCCAAAATAAAAAGAAATGATTAAAAGTAGTAGATATGTAAAAAAAACAAAACATATTGACTATTGTATTGTCTTTTGAACTGAGTATATAAAATGTTTAGAGATGTTTGAATGTTTTTGTATGAATCATCCTATTAAGGAATTTTGTGTCTCCTGCCAAGACGCCTTTGGGTGGGTGGATCCAATCTTTGATTGGATTGTGGTTGTTTGTTATTTTGTTCTCCCTCGTTTTTTGATGGCAGGCAGCAGTTTAGAGCATTTTGAATATGTCTTCGAACCTTATGATGCCCATAAGGGGGTCAACTTGAAAAAAAAACCATGTATATTGTATCTGTGAAAGATTACATGGTTTGAATTCTAATTCTAGTCTGGTTGACCCCTCTTTTATCTATGTACATCATGTTACAATGTCATTATGGTGTTGGGGATCAGATTATGTAATATTTTGCCTAAGATATGTAATACTCTATATTTGAGTCCTCCTTTTTCTGACCCCCACTTTGTTTACTGTGCTTAACTTTTCCGTCTATGGGCAGCAGAAAGGGCAAAAATAACATTATGAGAAAACAAACAATTTTTTTTTAATTTTAATGACCATAAAAACTTAACAAATGATATACAATACATAATCAACAGACCTTTTCACATAACAAATATACATTAAAGCAAAACCAACGACCACGTACGTAAGAAACATACATGAATGCAAAACCAACGACCATCTTTGCAGAACAAACGCGTACATAAATACATGACAAACAAAAAAAAACTTGAAATTTTACATATCAACTCCCTGTTGCCTAATGAAGGCCCCTATTGGTTTTGAGGTCAAACAATCAGAGTTCAAGGTCGTAAATCTATACATTCTGTCTGTGTGTAACATTATCCTATCCGGGCGATATTTGAAGAAGACTTTGAGCTTATTCAATGTAATTTTATACCAAAACTCCCTAGGACCTCTCCCACCCCTCTCAAAGTGTCCCGTCCCGTTTGTTTTATTAGTATTTATTATTACATGTCGCTATTTTTAGCACAGGGGCATGAGGAGAGTTATAACGTATAAACCAGGTTCTCGGCGGACTTTATATTCTTCTTACATCTGTTCAAACTGTTTTATAAAGCATAAATTAGACACCATGCATTGTGTAAAATTTTTGACAATATCGAACGTGAATATATACATGTATATGTGACTTCATCTTTGCATATAATTTCAATCGGTTCCGTGGTGTAGTGGTATGTCTCTCGCTTCACATGTGAGAGGTCCCGGGTTCAAATCCAGGACGATCCATTTTCTTTTTTTTTTTCGAATTACTTTTTAAGGTCTTCCTTTTCAACTGAAGACCTTCTACTGATTCTGTTGGTAAAGATTTTTATTAAGGTCTTCCGTTTCAACGGAAGACCTTTTTTTCTGTAGTTTCTTTTCAACTTTTCTTATTATAATTCTTACCGATTTTGTACACGCGACTTCTCGTAAATGCGTCTATGGATTTTCATGAAACTTTCAGCATTGATGACAAATTATATGAACTTAATGCATTTTTTTTAATTTGATGACGTCACTTCCGGTTCGAAATTTTCGGCGATTTAGTGATTTTTAGAGGGTCATTTTGTCCGGCAGTTTTCTCAGAAAGCGCTTAACACAGAAGCATGAAATTTTAAGTGCTGATAGAGCAACCTTTGGAGATATGTATTTGGTATATCTCAACCACCGGAAGTACGAAGCGCCGACGCCAGCTATAGTCCGAAAATAGTCCTATCGCGAATTTCAAAATTTCTTACACCTTTTCTTCGATATTTTTTTACCTAGAAATATTTTGTTAAAACATATATAGCAAAAGAAGTGTAGAATTATATGATCTTTCAAATGATATCTCGAAAAAAGGGCTGGCCCCTATAATTAAGGGTAGAGGGGCCGAAAGTTTTTCCTTAACATCTCAAAAAGTATTGAAAATTTGAAACATGTTAAAGAAGCGAAGTTGTTCAAAATGTCAAGCTCAATTTACTGGAGTCGTCAAAATACGTCCGTCGTCGTCACTTAAGGAAACCGGAAGTAGTCGAAAAACGCGTATTTTTGCCGTTCTTGACAAGTTTTTGGGTAACATATGTCTCTGGGAGCATGAAAATAAATTTTCCGTCCGTCGTCGGTACTTCCGGTCAAAACGGAAGTAGCAAAAAGTGGCTTATTTTTGCATTAATTAACATAGCTTTAGAGGATTCAAACCATTTTTGGGCGTTATTTCTCATTTTTGTTAAAAATGAAAGCTACTTCCGGTCAAACAGGATGGAAGACCTACTCGTTGCTTTGCAACGAGCTTTGCTCTAGTTCTTTATTTTTCTTCTACTTCGTAGACGCCAACTTTGATACCTCATATATCACTCATTTCTCAATTGATTTCGCTCAAATTTTCAGAGGTACTAGAAGTTACTAAACTCTATCAGAATGCTGTCGAAAATTTCAAAAAGTCACTTCCGGTTTTGACTTATTTCCCTTTAAACGAAAATTTATAGACTTTCGTTTCCAGACAAATGCACAAAGACGACTAAAGCTGGAGCAGAAATTCTACTGATTTCAGATAGTAGAAGGATTGAATTTGTGCACATCGGTTTTTGTTTATCGATTTCTCTATTCAAAATGGCGCTATATAGGGTTCAAAAATTAGAACGCTTAAAAGAGCCAAAAATTACTCATATTTTGCTTTTTATCTTCTTAACTAAAAATATTTTGTTAAAATATATAGATCATAATTTGTGCAGAATTAGAAGATCTTTCAAATAATATCTCGGAAAAATGACTGGCCCCTAAAATTAAAGGTTAAGAGGGGCCAAAAGTTTTTCCTTTATATCTCAAAAAGTATTGAGAATTTGTAATACTTCAAAGAAGCAAGGTTGTTCAAAATGTCAAGCTCAATCTATTGAAGTCGTCAAAGTACGTCCGTCGAAGTCACTTCCGGCCAAACCGGAAGTAGTCGGAAAACGCATATTTTGCCATTCTTGACAAGTTTTTGGGTAACATCTGTCACTGGGAGCATAAAATTTAAATTTTCATTTTACTTCCGGTCAAACCGGAAGTAGCAAAAATGGCTGATTTTTACATTAAATTACATAGATTTCGAGGATTTAAACAATTTTAGGACGTTATTACTCATTTTTGTAAAAATGAAAGTTACTTCCGGTCAAACAGGACGGAAGACCTTCTCGTTGCTTTGCAACAAGCTTAGCTCTAGTTTTTACTTAATGATGGTATTCAGCATTTAAAATGAAAAATTTATGAGGCCTGACTTGCAAAAACTCATAAAGTCATCATTACAGTGTGATCAATATTCCATATAAAAAGAATCTTCTATACACAAAATAAAAAATAAGCAATCAAATCTTTATATCCTTATTGGCATATATATTTTATTTTCTTCAGTATTGTTATGAATTTAGGTGGGCCTATACCTTGTGCCAACCATAGTAAAACATACTAATCATTAAAATAAAAAAAAAGTTTCTTGACGAACGTTTAAGGGACCAGAGGGAATTATGAACATTAATCAACTAACATATAATGCGCGAACGGACTTAGTGCGAACAATCTTCAGACAGAAGATAATGATGTAACTCGTCTATGTTTATAAACAGAGAGGCCCGTTACCAGATTGGGATTTACATTTGCCAGGTTTCGATTGCGATTACGAAGCCTTAGAATGGCCCAGAAGGTGTTATTCAATAACCCATCCAAATTACAGAAGATGACTATTTAATTGTAGTAGTGTGCACCTTCTCCATTTACCACAGTTTCCCTTATATACTCCTGACATATATTTGTTTACATTAGCAACGTCTGCTACCGCCCCTTCATTTCCATATTGTTGCACTATCGCTTCCAGAATGGTGCACCTTCGATTTTTACACCTTCCCAAAGTATCCTGGAGGTTGCAAATATGTTTTATGTACTTTTATACAATAAATTATTACCGGTACATGTTTCTTTTATACAAAGACTTTCTCTTGTTTTGTTGACTGTCTAAAGGTACAGAACCCATGTATTATTATAACGAAAAGCTGTAGAGTTAGTTATACGGCGTATATTTATAATAATTATACTTTTCGTTACATTGATGTCAGAAGTGGGATGCTAGAAAATTGCTTGAATTTTTTTTCTGTACCTTGCAGATGACAAACAAGACTAAGTTCACAAGACCATTTTTTATAAAAATTTTCATTAATTGGCCATAATAAAAATATTCCTAGATTCTCATCCCCGCCCGCCCCGATTTTATACCCCCGCCTCGATTTTTTTTATTTCTGTTTTTCTTCGTCTTAATTCTGATCGGGATCGGTATTCATCTACCATTCTACTTTCGTTTTAAATCTCGTGAAGTCGACATGATTTTGACAGCTGAAAAGATGGTAATATATTGCTGTAATACATGCGTGTATATTTTAAACAAG